ACTCTAGATWAGCAGATTCTGGCAGGAGAATCATTCTTGGCAAAGCTCATTAAGCCACTGCTGACTTAATGACACACTGCTGGAAGAATGAATTCACGGTGAATTTCACCATGAATTACCCTTCTGGGAAAGTGCAATCCTGCACCTCCTACTGTAGGGGTTGATCCGCATCCTTGGACAGTGTCAGAGCGGGTGCACCAGTAGCTCTTGGAGTTTAAACGAAAGTTCAGCTCTGGAAGACTAATAATCTCACCTGCGCCTGCCGACCTCTACATCTCAAGCTCACCTGTGTCCAATCGTCGCAAACCCAGCCACATCCAATCAGCTCCTGTCTGCCAGTGAATAAAAGCCAGTCGTCTCAGTTGCCCTGTCTGCGTGCCAGCTGACAGTCGGGTTTACTCACTTTCCAAATCGTCGCAGAAGCAGGCCAGCATCTACTCATCTGTTTTCACACAACGGTCTTCATCTACCAGCACACACAGGTATCCTAGCAGCTGGCCTTCATCAATCAGCACACACAGACATCCTAGCAGCCGGCCTTCATCCACCAGCTTTCTCCATTAATTTTAACAGATAGTCTTCATTCACCAGCTGGCAGTCCCACATTCATTCTGCATTCATCTGGTTACATGCATCTTCATCTTAAATCTCAGCCTCTCTTTTGGGGTGAAATAACTAAGCCCTCATCCATTTATTACTCCTACTTGTTGGCCAGCCCTATTACGTGTCGTCGTTCTCATCATCACCTAAGCTGTCATTCAGGACCTGCTCATTTAATGCGGGTTCAAACTCCACTCGGCTTTGGCCTCTTTTTGGGGGAAGAAATCTCATACCCCTAACTTAAAGCATCTCTCATGAGATTACAGCTTCATTCAGCGCTCTCGTCCTCTGTCGGGGTCCGAGCGCCAAACTCTAATGCCATTTATGTCAATAACATGTTGGTCTAATCATGTCAATAAACCTCCTAATTTCAGTCTGTCTCGTGTGATGGTGCGTTCAYACCGAACGCGATTTCAGCGTCAGGAGCAGCAGGTTTACATGCAAAGTCTATGGTGGACGCGCTTCAAGCARCGTCGGGAAGTGCTGTGGCGCCTCAAGCGCGATTAGAGCAGCGCGATTTGAACAATTTGAACRATCTGGGTGTTCGACGCGCTGAGGCGCAAATCGCTGAAGTTAGAAAATCTGAACTTTTGCAGCTCGACGTGCAGCATCAACCAATCAGAGAGACTCCACTGTGTGACATAGTGACATATTTCCCGACGGGACAGTTTACTGAATGATGTCCACTAACCTGAAACAGACGGAGRGGAGCTCTTTAGCTGAAATCCAGTGCCTGCAGTCTGTGTCCTGATCCACAGCAATGCGTGGCAGCGACTCATCAGACTGGAAAAATAGTCCTGAAAGCGAGCTGTGAGCCTCTACTCTGAATTATCTGGTGAATTAATTTTGAATTAATTATCTGATGAACGTGACATGCTCTTGCTCTCTGTAAATAAAGCAAAGCCACTTCCTCGTCCAACATTAAACAGAGCCTGAYGATTTTGAAGCTGAAATCGCGTTCGGTGTGAACGCAGCATGAGTCTTTCCAGGTTGAACTAGCATGTTAACTAGCACCTCTGTGGCTATGAGTGAAGCTTGCACCGTCTGAATGGTCTGAGCAAGCTACTAGCACATTCCTGGCCAGGAGCAAAGCATACACTGACATCTGGATGCCTTAAGCCCACTTACTAACACATCCGTGGCTAGGAGCGAAGCACCCAAATGCTCCGTTCAACTAGCACCTCTGTGGCTAGAAGCGACACTAAGCATTAAAAGGCAGCACAACTGTCTCCAGCTTCTCCACTGAGAAGCGGGAGCAGAAAAGCTTGCCGAATGTCGGGGGGAATTCACTCGTATMCTGTCTAGCATGAGCGGAATTCCTCCAAGTCCAGTGTAGTTTACTGAAGGACACCAGCACCGGGCTTTAGCTGTTCCTCCGCCTTTAGGCGGGAGACTAGCTAGCCTTCGGTATTCCTCCTCAGAGGAAGATAGCTGGGGTATAGGCTCAGACCATGTCAGAGATGAGTTAACTGCATGGATGGGGACTCCTCTGAGTCCACGTAGCATGCACAAAGACGTCCAGTGCCTAGCTTAGCATAATACTCCGCCACGGGGAACAYCCCTAGGCGGGAGAATTAGCTAGCCTTGGTCTCCCCTCTCCGAGGAAGGTGACGGGAGTAAACGGGTCAGGCCGGGGTAAACCGAACCCCGAACAGCCCAATAATGATGGTACGCAGATCATAGCTTGATGGTGCTGGACATGAGCTCCAACGATTAATAAAAGAAGATAGCACTTACATGTACTTACATGTCTTCTATGGTTACATTCAAAGGCTGAAGAGAAAAAGGGAGTGGATCTACGGTCCCACTCGTATTTCTGGGACAGTAGGTGGGGCCCACCGTAGAAGGGCGTTGACTATTGGTTCTTCAGAATGCGAAGGATACCCATCAGCGATAGGCTTAGAGGGCAGAGCTTACACAAAATAGAACACAGAAAGGGGCCGGTTAAGTGTCAGACCAATGCCAATTTGGAAATATGAATATTAATATTAATTAATAATAATTTGTGGGTGTACGTTTTGGTCTTATTTCATTCATTTTAAAAACAGATACTGAYAAACGTAAACCAAATGGTTGCTCTACTTTTATGCTATGCTCCAAAAATGAAAGAACAGTCCATCTTTTCATTTTTGTCAAACCAAAAGTTGTGCTGTTAAAAGTACGAGAAGCTCCAGGAAACACTCTGAATCATCTGTGAAACACAAACTATCAGCTGACACAAATTAAATAAATGTCAAATTAGTCCGCTAGCATTCATTTATTGCGACTGCCTGGTTAGCTAGTTATAAAGTAAAATGTGTTTATTCATCCAACCATTTATCAGGCCATTTAACATGGAGATAGAGATGTTTATAAAAGAAAAGAAATTAGCTAGACTAGATATATTAATAAAAATATACAGTCTGCAATTAGCCAAAGAAATGCAGTAGTTAGTAGTTAGCTAGTGTTAATTAATTAATTAATTGATTTACTTATTTACTTACAGGCAGCTGCCTGCTGTTTGATCCACATAACAAACTGTAGTCTTGTATCT